TCGTGTCATCCCTTAGTGCTGGAGATGCCCCCGTGCTCTTGTGCCAGTGCCAGGGCGGTCTGGGTCAGCCAGCACTGTGGGGCTAGGGAAAGAGCAGGTAGATGAAGTTTGGCTTGAGGCAAAGATTTCCGTCTTGGGGACTGACCAGCCAGGGTTCTTTGTAAATGTTTATCCTTGCACACTAATCATCTTGAAGAAAACACTAGCTGCTAACTCTAGGATTTGCCTTTAATATGTTTATAGGGCTCAAAAGCAAGGTTTTCCGAATGTGTTTGTCCATGTGACATATTTATATAGTAAATATTCTAGTGTCTCGCTGCTGTTCAGTACTCTCAACAGGGCGACGTTCTTTCGTTAGCTAAATTAACATCCACTCCCAATCCTTAACTCTCTGCCAGTGTCCGGTGAATCCAACTGGGATTTCTAGCATCTTGACGTAGCACATCACTCTAATCAAAGATGGAAACTTTACCAAAATATGTTTGAGCAGCCCTTAGTAAGGAGCTTTGTAGTACTAACAGTTGGCGGAAGCCTGGGATGAGGCGGTGGTCCTGTGGAGGTGACTCTGGTTGCCCCCCGGGGCAGGCTGTGACTGTGAATTGTCCTGTCCTTTCCTCTGCTATGTTTTTATGTGGAATTGGATGTTTTGGGGTCATTCTTTTGCATTGCAGTGTTGTTGAAATGCAGCGAAACTGAATTAGGAAAGGTACCTGTATTTTCCTGGGTTTAGAAAGACAGACAAAAATGAAATGAAAGGCCAAAATTGCATGGGATTTACCATGTGAGAGTGGAGGGTGTGCCCAGAGCATGGTGCTAACACAGCGTTTTGAAGTTCAGCTCCTCTATCACAAACAGCAGCAGTGACGGCGGGGACAGGCTATACCTGCAAGTTCAGTGGGTTCATTCTTTTGCTTCTGTTATGGTTTGAATTTGGTCAAAGTCTCTGGCTTAAATTGAGCTACTTCGACAGAATTCTCTCAACCCATCTCTTTGTGTAATGTCAAGCATGACTGAATGCTGAATCCAAATGATGGCTATCCCATATTGGCTTTTTTTTGTATTCAAAAAGAATTGTGTAGTAACCATTTTTACATGTATATCATGTGCAGACCTGGACTATTCCAACAAGTTAATATTTTAATTAAAATAGTTTGCAAAAACTGATTCAGATCAACTGGTCTAAATGTGTGTGTCCCTGTGTGTACGTGGGGGAAGGAAAGCTGTCCCAAACAAGCCTGATCTCGAGAGAAAGCACCCCATTATGCAGCTGTAGCCAGAGGGACTCAAGGTCAGGCTGTGCCTTGGAGGTATATGAGGAGGCCCTTGGTGCTGAGAATTTTAATGTGTCTCTCGGGTATATTTCTGAGATACATAAACAGCTATAAAATACGCTGGAGAGACGCAAACACTCTCTGAATCAGTTTGCAAACTCTATTTTTAAAAGTAAGACCAATTACTCCATATTGTACTCGTTGCAGTCATGCCCTAACTTTGGTTTTAAAAATACTGTAATCTGTAAATTGTGGAAACTACTCCAGTACCTCAGCAAAGATGTTCTTTTACATCTTTTATGTTCGTATTTAACACTGGGGAAACTCTTCTGTGTGGACTACTTTGCAAATTTTATTGCGGTATTTTCAAATCACCAGCTTGACCCCTGAAATCTCTTATTCTGTGGTTATTTTTCTCTCCCCTTTGCAAAGACCTACAGTTTTGATGTAGTTTAGCCCAGAGATGAAAAAAACAGAGGAGCCGACATTCTCACCTCTTTCTGATTTGAATTTCTTTTGATTTTAATTAAAAATCAGTGAAAGGGACCATGTTTTTCTTGTTCTCCATGGTCCCTGGGAGTCAGCAGCCACCTCTCCCTTCCATGTTGAACGTTACGTGCTTTGTTCCTCGGATGCAGCACTGAAATGGAGGCCAGCTCTGTTTCACCTGCGTTCGCTCCGAGCCTGTGAGCTTCAAAGGGGTTGAAGAAATAAATGTGGTACGATACCAAGCTTTCCACAGAAAATTCCCTGCAGCCATTCCTTGCCTGGCTTGGGGCCGGGCTGGCATCGCTCTGTATCCCACCCAGCCCTCCCACTCCAGAAGAACGTGCATTGCACGCTAGCTGTAACCTGCATGGGGTGCACCCTGGTCGATCCTGGGATGATGCCGTTTATTAACACCACCCCCCCACCCCCCCGGGGAAAAGGGCCCCTTGCACTTCAGGCTGCCCTGCCCCCTTGACCCTGCTTACGTGCCATTTCTTGAGAGGCAATAAATTGTATTGTACCACTGTCTACCATTACTCTGTTGAATACGCACATCTCTCTGGATATATATATGGTATCTCATTTGTATATATTTATATACTCTGTATGTACGTGTGTGTGGGTATACGTGCACACACATCATGCTGTGCATTTCTGTCAGGGCACTTCAGTTCTGCTGTTCTTTAGCACTCCTGTTCATGAGCAAAAGCAAACCCTGCAGCAGGGCTCTCTAGGGCGAGGGCATGTACATCTGCACAAGCTGTGCTAGGGCTGACTGCAGTCAAAAGCCCTCGCTTAAATACTGCCCTGCTAATTGTAGCTTTCTTTTTCTGGGGAGCGGGAGGGTAGGCTAGCTGCTATGGGTGTGCTGTAAAGGAGAAAAGAGAGCTCCCAGAGGGTACCGGGAAGTCAGAAGACAGCAGAGAAGAAAACAAGATGGTATAGCGATAGGAAAGCAGTTGAGGCAATGTACCGATCTGCTGGGGAGGCGGTGAGTGGGCTGGTGAAGTGCTCAGCAGGCTGAGCTCAGAGTCCCCAGCTGCGTCTCGCCACGAAAGATCACAAGCCCGGCACGGTCTTGGCACGCTGCACCGGCACTAACTTTTGGCAGTCCTGAGTTCAAGCCACCGCTAACTCTGAACACTGTCTACCTTTGTGTGCGTCTAATAACTAGAGCAGGTTATGTGGAGGATCAAAAGAGAAGCTAAACTGGAAGATCTAAAAGATATATGTGTGTGTGTATGTGTGTACAGCGCATACATACATACATATATATATACACACACACAGATGCTCGGTCCATTCTTTATTCTGCTTGGGCGTGTGTGTTTTGTTACTCGAGTCCAGTAAGCAGAGGACAGACTTGTTCTTCTCCTGGGTGCTTGCTCTGCGTTTCTAGTAAATCTTGCCCTGGTCTTTCTCATAGCAGAGGAGCGAGTGCCATGCTGGACACCACGAGCTCCTCAAGCTGTGAAGACCCTTCTAACCTTCCCCTTTGTCCTCTACAGACCCCATCTTAGTGAGACATCTGGCAGTTTGGGGGATAAATGGTTCTCGCATGTGTCAAGTCACAAATGTTCATCCAGCTGCGATATTTACCCCCTGGGGAAGCCCAGCCAGCTCAGCAGCACGCCAACCACGGGCTCTCTTCTTCGTGCTATCAGAGAATTTGGAGGTAATTTTCCCCCCTGTCCCTTTTGGAAGGTCTCTTGCGAGCTTTTTAGGTGAGGCTCGGGTTTGGTTGGGACATCCTTACCCTTTCACAACGAGTAGTGTCATCTTGAGCTGCGCTCCTGCGTGTGGGACTTTCCCACCCTGGCGCTGGCCGGCAGGGAGCCCAGAGCCACGTGCCAAGGATGGAGGAGTGGTGGATGCCCAGACAGGGACGCCGGTCGGTGTCCCTCTGCTGTGTTTGTTTCAGTTTGCACTTTTACGAGTCGAGTGAGTCGGAGGAGCCTGTTGAGAAATACATGTGAGGTGCTTCGGGGCGTTGTGGGTAGCTGTTTACAGCCGAAAAAAAAAGCTGATAGATCTAGTGGTCATAGTAAACATCACCCCACCAGGGAATGATGGCAGCAGATAACCCTGGTTCCTGTTGCACAACGAGATTCAGCCAGCTGGGGCTGCGATGCTGCCTGCTGCATCCCTGCCCTGCCCCTCAGCCCGAGCTTTGCTGGGGAGGGAAAGGCCTTTGTCAGCTAGAGAGGGACTTAGTAAATCGGATTTGCTGGCGAACAAGCACCTTAACCATCGAGCTGTGGGTCTCAATACTTGCACTTCACCTTAAGGCTCCTCTGGGGGGGGGGGAGGAAGGCGGTTTGGTACGCGACCTTTGGCTTTGCGCCCGTCTGGTGGCCTCAAAACATCCTAAAGCCATGTCCTGGGAAAAAAAGAAACACCAACATCGGTTCCCTCTCTCCTTGCTTTCTCTGAGTGCACACACTGAGTCCAGGAACCAGTAACCAGGAGGGGCGAGCGTTGCCCCCACGGATGTGAACAAACCCGGGGGGGATCTCGCCCCTCCGGTCCCCTGCCCCGCTCCCCACCCCTGAGTACGGGTACCTCAGAACATGCACAGTTTGAATTTTCACTGACAATTAGTTTAATTATTGTGAGTGAAAAGAATTGTAATTATCTGTAAATATGTAGTTAACAAATTGACCTAGTTTCTGTATTTTTTAAGTTTTTGTACTAAAATTTATAGATACAGTATGTGCCAGCTAGCAAAAAGCTACTGTAATTGCCAGTCGTAGTTCAGCATGCATCTAATCCCCGAGACGTGTCAAAGTGATGCTGTAAGGAATTGTGCTTAAATATTGCGCGCTGGGGAGGCGCAGCAGCCGATGGGGCAGGAGGGCTGGGGAGGCCCCCAGCCGCTCGCCTGGGGCTTTCGGCGTCCCGCGTTCAGCCGGGTTTTTCCGCGTTCGCTGTGTGTAATCTTCCTCCCTTCGGCGTCGTGTGCTGTATGGTGGGCAGTGCGAGGGATGGAGCGGTGGCTTCGCGCTTTCTCTGGGGCTGAACTCAATGGGAACCGAGTTCAGGTTCTTTGCTGCAGTTTAATACCGGCTTATGACTATATTTTTCAACCTCTCTGGAAATGATCCGTTTTCCCCTTCTGACTGCTTTTGTCTTAAACCCGAGATCATCTAAACCTACTGGAGGAAAAATAAAATGACTTTCATTTAAGATTGTTGCCTGCTTTTAGTGCCAGGATCACGCATTTCTATGGCAACTCTGAGCTTAGCAGAGTTTAGAAATCAGCACAGGGTTGTTAACGAGCTGAAGTACGTCGCCGCTGCTATTGCACGGCTCCGGCAGAGCCCGACTGCAGCTGGTGGCAGCCGCGAAGGGCGAATTTGTGGGTGCGATGCAGTCGCTTGCGTGGGTCTCGGTGTCCCTGCCCCGGCTGCAGCTGGCTTGCACTGCAAGACCTGCCACTGAGGGGTGGGCTCCCCCCCCGCCCCGGCGCTTCTTAGGAGTGAAGTAAGGACCTATGCTCCTTGTCTTGTGGCAGAGGCAAGTCTGCAAGTCGAGAATAGCTTTGCTGGGCGTCCCGGGAAGCTGCGAGCAGAGTTTGAGCGCCGGTGAGGCCGTGCTCTCCAGGTCTGGTTGTCCCGGAGGTCGTAGGGGACGGGAGCTTGTAAGGATTCAAGGATCAGAGAAGGAGAGGCATACGTGTGCGTACGGGTTTGGCTTCTGGCAAGCAAACCACCCGCTTCCTTTCTTCAGCTTTTCTTCCCTCCTAACCCCCCGCAGCTCTTCTCCCTGCTTGCTTGGAACAGGAACATTTTTTACCTGCCTAGAAACAGCTAAAAGATGGGGGGGCAGCCCTGATGTAAATAATTAACGTTACAAAGTGAAGTGTGTATAACATAAAAGGCTACAGCCCTTTGGTGACTTGTAAATGCTTGAGAAGGTTGTGGTAAGACGTGGAGGGCCAAGCGACCTGCCTGGGGCTCTGCAGCCATCGCTGCCCCACCGACACCTCGGGGGCAGCGGGTCGGGAAGGGGGGGGGGGCCTGCCCTGCGTGCCTTAGCCGTGGGAACCCCCTTGGTTTAGTGGATGGGAGGGTAGCGTAACGTGTGTAATACGGATAGGAGAAGCTGTGTGAGGTGTGTATAGTGTATATTTTTTAAAAATAGCTTGCTTGTATTGTGAAGATTTTAAAGACAAACTTGAGAATTCTAGCCTAACTATTAACACAAGTTTAACATCAGTTACCCCACTGGGTTCAGAGCCTCTTGAATGTATATTCCTTTTTGTAACCTAAATGACCTATTCTTCTACCAGTCAGCCAGACATCCTATTTATATTTTTAATTTTATATATTACTTTCCATTTGTTTTCATTATTTCCAGCATGTTTCTGGTTTTGGTTTTTGTTTGTTTGGGGGTTTTGTTTTGTTTCTTTTTGCACAGGCATTGTGTGAAGTCAAGGAAATGTTAACTCAAACCTGGTATTTTCCAACCTGTTCCCCCCTCCCCTTCCTCTCCTCCGCCCCTGTTTTTTTTCTTTCTTCCGCCAACAGTTTGGGATTTTCTGGGCTGGGATGCAGCGGGTGGGAGGAGGGGATGGCTATTTTCCATTTGCAGCTTCTGTGCAAATGCCAGGTCTTTTGCCAGTCAACTAAAAACGCTTCACTTGGTTGCTTTAAAAAAAATAAGTAATAAAAACAAAAATGTAACCTTATCAGTCCGACGTAGACCACGGTGGGAGGAGGGGAAGTGCACACCTGTAGCCACACAAATCTAGCTTTGGCTGCGAAACAAAAGCAAACCTTTCCTGGCGAGCAGGTGACTACAAGGCAGCTCCCAGCCCCACCGGCTGCCCGACCCCGCGGAGGTTTTGCCGGGCACGAGCTCCGTGTGCAGCCGGGGGCCGAGCCCCGCGGTTCGGCCGAGCCGTGGCGGGGAGCGACTTGCTTTGGCCTTGCTCTTCCCCCCTCGGCGCCTGCCTGTTCGTGTGCACAAACCCAAGAGCTGCCTACTGATGACAGCAAAGCTGCTGCTGCTTTTCCTCTCCTCCTCCTCCTCCTCCTCCTCCTCTTCCTCCTCCTCCTCCTCCTCTCCCCCTCCGTAAGGAGGTCCAGCTCACCAACAAGAGCTCGCCCAGCGCCCGGCCCCAGCGCCGTGGCCGTCTGCTCTGGGGCATCATCCAGTATAGCAAAGCCTGGCTGCCGCGGTGCCGGGGGAAGGCGCCCGGCCGTGTGGTTTTGTGCCGCAGGGCGTTAGAAAAAAACACACACATATCTGCTGTTTTACTATGAACACTGGTCTGAGGTTTCCAGGCCCAGCACCACGGTGATGGGCCACGAAGGATTTAACTAGGGGAATTAAACTCCTTCCTGCTTCCGTGTCTGGTAGCACCAGCTGGTATGAGTGAATCTACAGGTGTGCGTTTTCCTTCTTGTAGAAAATGCCACAAGCACTAACTGGTAAGGCTTAATGTACAGTATATTGTCAGTATTCTGGTATTCTTCTGGTTCAACATACATTATAGCTCATATATAACCTGTATTAATTGTATAGATTGTGCATTTAAAGCTGTTACCAAGTTGTCAGAAAATAAGAGAAAAAAATAAGGTCATATGTAATATTTTGTTTGTAAGTATCCTTTGTATCATAGCAAAGGAAATGTTAAAAAAAAAAAAAAATCAACTGTAATAAAGTAATTTTAGTACACGGAGTGTCTGCCTGCCTTCCTGAGCCCCCCCGGCGCGTGGGACCCTGCCCG